TGACAGTGCCCAGCATCAGTAAACTACTACAGTTACTGACCATGACAGTGCCCAGCATCAGTAAACTACCACAGTTACTGACCATGACAGTGTCCAGCATCAGTAAACTACCAGTTACTGACCATGACAGTGTCCAGCATCAGTAAACTACCACAGTTACTGACCATGACAGTGTCCAGCATCAGTAAACTACCACAGTTACTGACCATGACAGTGTCCAGCATCAGTAAACTACCAGTTACTGACCATGACAGTGTCCAGCATCAGTAAACCACTACGGTTATTCTTTCTTCAATAAAAGGTACAGCATCACTAGGTTAATTTCCTGTCATCACCTCATATAAATATCTCAGCAGTACGAGCGTGTTCACAACTACATCGTGTTTAACGCATCCTGGGAGATCCAGTCAACTCCAGCGGCTCAACGTGAGACAACAAACATTACCTGGTCAGCTCCTGGGTTGTGTTTCATAATCAAACGAATCGTAAACAGTGTGTCACCTGACACCTCCCTAGACGACAGCCCAGACGTGACCCTACGATAGTGTTATTTAAAACGGCTCATGTTCACTAGTGGGTCGTGTATGTTTGTGTGTGTGTGTGTGTGTGTGTGTGTGTGTGTGTGTGTGTGTGTGTGTGTGTGTGTGTGTGTGTGTGTGCATGTATGTGTGTGTGTGCACACTTACACACACTGTCAAACACTCTTTGTATTAATGGTATACAATACCGACATGCTCATGAATAAGACACATGTGTAACATGTGGCCATCCTAATTGACCTTTGGTTTCGCCTTTTCAGCAGGCTTCTTCTGTCTAATAAAGAGGCGACTTTAATTCTAGAAACAGTGAAATTAGAGAGGTAATTTTGTGGTCCTAAGTCATTTAGCGAGTTCCCTCTTGAAGACAGTTAGTGGTCTGTTAGTGCTCTCCCTTTATGCACGAAGGAAGGTGTTGAAGAGTCGCGGTTCCTTTACACTTGTTGACTTCTCTCTCAATGCACCCATTGCGTTCTCTGTTCTTCATCGGCCTCTTGTGCTCGTATGTAGTAATTTCGGTGTATTTGGGACCACTCCCTCAAGGATCATCTAGGTGCAAATTATCATGTACCTTTCCTGTATACGTTCTAAGATGCACAATTAGAGGAACTTCAAGTAATTTAGCTGTGAAGGTTCTCTTTATATTTTCCAGATCTACAATTTCTTCCTTCTTGAAGGGGAGAGTTAATACACAGTAATATTCCTACGAAGAGAGAACGTGTGACCTGAAGAGCGTCATCATCAGCTTGGCATCTCTTGGTCTGAAAATTCTGGTTATCCAGCCTATTATTTTCTTTGCAGTTGTGATAATGACATTGTTGTGTTCATTGAACGCGAGATCTTCTGACATTATCACTCCCAAGTTTCTCATTTTAGGTTACATACTATTGAGTAACTCGAGTTTGTATTGTAGTACGATCTTGTTTTATTTCTGCAATCCTGCTGTGACAAGGTAATTGAAATTTGTTCTCCCTCATCATATTGTTGACAGTAGCCCACTCTCAGCTTGGGTGATCGCTGTCTTCATTAGATGTCACTTCCACGCAGATTGTTTGCAAAGAATGATACAGTGCTATGGTGTACGTCCTGTATATGTCAGATATGACAGTGAGAAAGACAACTGGGGGTGAGTACTATGCCTTGATTGATGTTATTCATTCTCTTAGCATAAAACAGAGTCCTGAAGCCAGAGGTTAGGTGAAGCAGTTAGAGACACCCTCACAAGTGGGCTGGGCCCACTAGTGGAAAAACGTCACACTTATAAGCTGGTCTGCTGGGCTGGCGAAAAGTTTCGGTAATGAAGATACCCAAGTGTTATAGATGTGTCTTATCAGCTTGTCAGTATTGTGTACCATTAGCATAATGATAGTTATCTGACGCAGAAACATCATGGTAACTTGGTACAGAGGACATCTTTCACAACTCTCAAGAACAACTCATCCCACTCATATGTTTGCCTAGCCTATTTATAAACACTGACCCAAATTATTAACTTAACCTACTTTCACTAGTGGGCCCCGCCCTTCTGTCACGCTGTCTCTAACTGTTGCAGCTCAGTTCTGGTTCCAGTATACAAGTCTTTATCCCTCATGCCTCGTAGGTTAAAGGATCGAACACCTTCAATCAAAAACTATGGGATCGAACACCTTCAATCAAAAACTATGGGATCGAACACCTTCAATCAAGGCAAACTAATTGAACACTTTAAAATAAGATCTCTAATTTCTTCCACTGTCTCTAGTATGAAAGTCGTCATTGTGTTCGAGTGAAGAAGCTAACTGAACAAGTGAAACACATTTTGCACACGAATATTCTCTCTCTCTCTCTCTCTCTCTCTCTCTCTCTCTCTCTCTCTCTCTCTCTCTCTCTCTCTCTCTCTCTCTCTCTCTCTCTCTCTCTCTCTCTCTGCTGAGGGGGCAAATGGTGTGGGGTTTTAATCGCCTCTACAGCCAGAATTGTTACTTAAAAACGATAGAGACTTTTTAAAAATGTTTAACTTTCCCATGTTATAAGAACCATACCTGTGGTGGTACCATACCTGTGGTGGTACCATACCTGTGGTGGTACCATACCTGTGGTGATACCATACCTGTGGTGGTACCATTCTGTCTTACAAACCATAGCTGCATCTTCTGAATACGTGGGTGAGGTGGGACCCTAATATATCTGCCAGCGTATGGCTGCTCCTCTGATGTTAGTACACAAGATTTCTTTTCACTGAGTCAAACATTACCATAGAGCTTTTCCATTTGTCCATTAACCGTGGCCGGTTAGGTACCTACAAAACTGGTCAGTCCTCTTAGAAAGCTCCTCTACATAGAGCAGTTTTCCGTAAGTGCGGTTGTAAACGTACAAAGACAACTGAACAACTGTAGGTGTTCACCAGTTACCCTGGAACAAGTGTGTGTTCACTAGGTACCCTGGAACAAGTGTGTGTTTATCAGGTACCTTGGAACAAGTGTGTGCTCACCAGGTACCCTGGAACAAGTGTGTGTTTATCAGGTACCCTGGAACAAGTGTGTGTTCACCAGGCACCCTGGAACAAGTGCAAGTGTTCACCAGGTCCCTGGAACAAATGTGTATTCATCAGGTACCCTATAACAAGTGTGTGTTCATCAGGTACACCGTCAACATGTATATATCACCTGAGTCATGATAAAGTACAGAGATTAGGATGAAAACATCTGTCAGTTGTGTACGCACATTAAAGTCTTGCATCTTTCAACACATGAAGTCTTGTAGTTACGCCACCAACTGGGAAGATGCTGCAAGATGCTTACAAAATAAAAACTCAAGAATAATCACATTAATCGACCAACAACCCAAAGAGACAGTTTTAACACGACATGATGACCAGTTCCGCGTTAAAGAAGAACAGTCCAGCACTGAGTTTAATTATTATTACGTTCTCGAGCTCTGTCCCTCCATGGTTACAATGATAAAAAAATTAGTCTCAAAATTATATTCACCAAAGCAACAGCATTATTTTTTGTTTGCTCAAAATATAATTATTTCCATTGTACATCCTACTTAATGTAAGAGAATTTGAATAATAAATTGTCGTTAAACTAAGACCAAGAATTAAAGTAAATATTTCTATTATATTATTCCAAGAGTACGAGAGTAAGATGGCTATAGTCAGATGCTCTCAGATGCTGTGATGGTCATCTCTTGGTTGGATCGAATACGTTGTGCATCTCCAACTGGCCTCTCATACATATACAACTGTAGTCCTAAATGCTAAACCAAAATAGTTAATAGGGATCTAGTATCCATGTGGGGCAGGTGATGAAATACTTGTCGGGTAAACCTGAAGAAATTTTATATAATGTATCATGAAGCAGAGTTTTATGTACCAGAGGAAGGCAGGTAGGTAAGGTAAGTGTTTCCTGACGCTGGTCTTAATTATATGGTGACCCGTTGAAGAATTGAGACACGTTTTTTCAATAAAGATTCCCATATGTTGCATAAGTGTCTCAGTTCTTCAACTTGACGGTTTTCGAAACCATTCATCACATCTATCAGACACTGCATCATCATGGGTTCTTGATACAAAGAATTCTTCAAAATTTGTCCAATCTTAGGACGAAGACCTACTTCGACTAGTGGATGGTACCACTATGACCCCGCCTCCTCCTGCTTCGCCTCACCTGACTACAGTATATAAGCCACGTCTACGGCCCTGTGCTGTACTTTCTACAAAATTGATGGACTCAACACATCGACCCCAGGCTGAGGGACTGATTACCTCAAACTCCTCCTCTCCTTACACCTTCCTGCTTAGTAAAAGACTGATGAAGCACTGTGAGGCGAAACGTTTCTTCAGTAAAGATTCCCATATGTTGCATAAGTGTCTCAATTCTTCAACTTGTCTGTTTTCAAAACCATTCATCACATATGATGACCCGCCACTGGACCGTCTGGTCATCTGACCGAGGCCTTTCGCTGGCTTACCGGTCCACCTAAAATCAGTATCAGAAGGATGATTTAAACAACTCTTGTGTCATCCATCACACCTGTGGACACCCCGTCAACCTCCATAATGATACACTATTTATGAAGACTCAGACCTGCGCAGTAGGTACCGTTTAGAGTCATCGCTGCTATACTCAAAATAAAAAAAAAAATAATTTCGGAAATCATATCACAACACATTCTTAAACCAAGCAAAATATAGCCATCGCTTAGCCTTGTCTTTTCTCGCACAACACAAAACCTCAGCTATTATTTATACTGATTTCTTCTCCTCAGTACTGGACTGATAAATCCCCTGGTAGGCGACATATCTAATTAATCTCTAATTCTTTTACTTTAGGCTTTAATGGGCCCCAAAGCTCGGGTGATCTCTTAACCTCCCACCATAAAATACTGCACAACATAGACAGACAGACAGACACACACACAGTTTTAGATCAGACTGCAATCAGACCTGCGGTGTGCAGGACAAGTGACGAGGTTGCTAACCTGTCTGACCAGCGTTGTAGACGGGTCTTGATGGCTGGATGAGAATGGTGAGGAACTTGGCCTGGAAGTTGAGGTTGACAGCACGCTTGAAGAGTGAGGTGACACCCTCCTTCCCTTCCACCCTCAACTGCCACTCTCCACCCACCACGGAGTCTGGAACCTGCAACACACACATATACATTATTGCATACCAGTGGATCAACCTCTCATGTGAGGCTGTTGCATATGTGTCTTACCTAACAGGCTGGTGAAAGAATCCTGTGGCAAAGAAATTTAGAGCTACTCTCCTCTTCCTCAGATCAAACCTAATTACCTTCGCCTATACCCTACCAAAATTCTATTATAAATTTAATGGAGTGCCGTCTCTCTGTATTAATAATAATAATAATAATAATAATAATAATAATAATAATAATAATAATAATATAGCAGCAGCAACAATAATAATAATAAAAATAATAATAATCAAAAGATATAATATATATAATTTTATAATAATAATAATAAATATATATATATATATATATATATATATATATATTTATATATATATATATATATATAAACACTGATCTCTGGCTGAAGGAGACTCGAACCTACGAACCTTAGGACAAGGTACGCAGTGCTTTACCAATCTACCCACACTGGACCAATAATAATTGTAGCGCTGCTACACGCCAAGGTATTGGTCCAGTGTGGGTAGATTGGTAAAGCACTGCGTACCTTGTCCTAAGGTTCGTAGGTTCGAGTCTCCTTCAGCCAGAGATCAGTGTTGTGTATATATATATATATATTATATATATATATATATATATATATATATATATATATATATATATATATGATAAATTAAACACATGTGAATTCTTGGGTATCTTTATTGAGGAAACGTTTCGCCACACAGTGGCTTCATCAGTCCATACATAGGAGAAACTTGAAGAACAGGAGGAGAATGAGGTAATCAGTCCCTCAACCTTGAGTCGATGTGGTCAGTCCATCAATCTTGAATAGAAAGATACCCAAGAGTTGCACATGTGTCTAATTTATCAACATGTCGGTTCTCTGAACCATTCATCTACAATCCTGTCAGACACTGCAACTTCTTGGGATCTTAATACTTGGGAATTCTTCGCTTGCCTAACCCTTGGGCACGACCTACTTCCACATTGAACAAATGTGACACCACCTACGACTGCTGCACCTCTCCTGCCATACGGTTTATAAGCTGCTTCTCCGCACATATGCCGTATTCTATTCAATATTGATGGACTGACTACATCGACTCAAGGTTGAGCGACTGATTACCTCGTTTTCCTCCTGTTCTTCAGGTTTCTCCTATGTATGGACTGATGAAGCCACTGTGTGGCGAAACGTTTCCTCAATAATGATACCCAAGAGTTGGTTTAGAAAGACACGTAAGCAAACACTATGACATAGTGTTTGCTTACGTGTCTTTCTAAACCAACTTGTCGGTATTTATTACCAAGGTTTATACCATACCCAAGAGTTGCACATGTGTCTAATTTATCAACGTGTCGGTTCTCTGAACCATTCATCTACACACAACACACACACACACACACACACACACACATTATATAATTATATATATATATATATTATATATATTATATATATATATATATATTATATATATATATATATATATATATATATATATTTATATATATATATATATAATATATATTTATATATATATATATATATATTATATATATATATTTATATATATATATATATATATATATATATATCCCAAGAATGCTCTTGGGAGATTCTGAAGAGAAGTTGCAGAAATTGGTGGATGAATTTGGTTAGGGTGTGCAAAGAAGAAAATTGAAAGTGAATACAGGAAAAAGTAAGGTTATGAGGATAACCAAAAGATTAGGTGATGAAAGATTGGATATCAGATTGGAGGGAGAGAGTATGGAGGAGGTGAATGTATTCAGATATTGTGGAGTGGACGTGTCAGCGGATGGGTCTATGAAAGATGAGGTGAATCATAGGATTGATGAGGGGAAAAGGGTGAGTGGTGCACTTAGGAGTCTGTGGAGACAAAGAACTTTGTCCTTGGAGGCAAAGAGGGGAATGTATGAGAGTATAGTTTTACCAACGCTCTTATATGGGTTTTGAAGCATGGGTGATGAATGTTGCAGCGAGGAGAAGGCTGGAGGCAGTGGAGATGTCATGTCTGAGGGCAATGTGTGGTGTGAATATAATGCAGAGAATTGTATGTTTGGAAGTTAGGAGGAGGTGCGGGATTACCAAAACTGTGTCCAGAGGGCTGAGGAAGGGTTGTTGAGGTGGTTCGGACATGTGGAGAGAATGGAGCGAAACAGAATAACTTCAAGAGTGTATCAGTCTGTAGTGGAAGGAAGGCGGTGTAGGGGTCGCCTAGGAAAGGTTGGAGGGAGGGGGTAAAGGAGGTTTGTGTGCGAGGGGCTTGGACTTCCAGCAGGCATGCGTGAGCGTCTTTGATAGGAGTGAATGGAGACGAATGGTTTTTATATACTTGACGTGCTGTTGGAGTGTGAGCAAAGTAACATTTATGAAGGGATTCAGGAAACCGGCAGGCCGGACTTGAGTCCTGGAGATGGGAAGTACAGTGCCTGCACTCTGAAGGAGGGGTGTTAATGTTGCAGTTTAAAAAAATGTAGTGTAAAGCACCCTTCTGGCAAGACAGTGATGGAGTGAATGATGGTGAAAGTTTTTCTTTTCGGGCCACCCTGCCTGGTGGGAATCGGCCAGTGTGATATAATATATATATATATTATATATATATATATATATATATATATATATATATTATATATATATATATATATATATATTTCTATATATATATATAAGATTATTTTGAAAGTATGGAGCAGAATAGGTTGACCAAGAAAGTAAGTCTGTGGTGGAAGAGAGTAGTGGTATGGGTTCCCTGGATAATAGGTACTTGGGCAGCTTTAAAAAGAAATTGGACAAATATATGAGTGGGTACGGGAGAAAATTCTTGGGTAGCTTAGGGTGGCGGTGGTTCATCTTGTCACCATTTTGATGTTCATCTTGTCACCATTTTGATGTTCATCTTGTCAGACACTGCAACACGTGGCATCTTGGTACAGAAAACACCTTGGACGTGTACTTAGTTGAGTGGTGACGTGTACTTAGTCAGTGGTGACGTGTACTTAGCTCTGTGAAGACCTGTTTGTGTGCTCTTGAGTGGTGACCTGTACTTTGAGTGCTGACCTGTACTTAACTCTGTGAAGAAGTGTCTTGTTTGCTCCCGTGGACTGAACCAAGATGCCCTCCATCGAGCAACTTTACCAGCAACTTAAGGAAGAATTGAGGGCAGCGAAGATGGAGATACGGCGACTGACCGAAGAAAACAAGAGGATTCGTAGTAGTCCTCTGTTTCGAGTCCTCAGGTCAAGAAGGGATCGTGGTCAGTGGTTGGACAGCAGGGGACGACGAAGTTGACGATCAAGAAGACGAATGGAAAGCCAGAAACGATGAAGAAGAAAGAGACTGCTGTGGAAACTCCGTGGAACCTCCAACGCATTCTCGGTGCTACCCGACGAATGTGAGGTCTACTACTGGGATCGTCACGACGAACGACAACAAGGAAGGTAAGAATATTGTTGTTGTTGGGGATAGCCAGGTTAGATACATGGATAGGGCATTCTGCTTGAAGGACAGGAGTTAGGAGACAAAGGGTATGCTTTCCTGGGGCTGGGATGGAGGACATTGTTAGCCGGCTTGACAACATCATGAACGGTAATGGGATCAATCCTATTATTTGCCTCAGTGCTGGAGGCAATGATGTTGGCAAGCGTAGAAGTGAGGATTTAGTTAGAAAGTTCAGGACAGCTATAGACATGATTAGGAAGAAGGGGGGGCGCCCTGTTATATGTGGCATTTTGCCAAGAAGAGGTGTTGGTAATGAATGGTTGTCCAGAGCAATTGGTATTAATTGTTGGCTGGATAAACACTGTAAGGATAATACAGTACCATTCCATAATTGACAAGGACAGTAATAGGTTTAGTGGAATAATAGAAAAAAGCAGGAAGGGTAAAGAGAGAGGAGGGTCATTAAAAGTTTATTACACAAATAGTCGCAGTGCTAGGAATAAGATGGGCGAGTTGAGATACTAGTTGCTAGTGCAGGTAACATAGATGTATTTGCCATTACTGAGACGTGGTTTAATTCAAAAAGTCGGGACATGCCTGCAGAATGTCACATTCAGGGTTTTAAATTGTTCCAAGTAGATAGAAGTATCGGGAAGGGGGTGGTGGGGTGGCATTGTATGTCCAAGATCGCTTGAACTGTTGCATAAAAACGGGTATTAAGTCTGAAGTAACACACAGAGTCTGTTTGGATAGAATTTTCAGAGGGGCATGAAAATTAATTTTAGGTGTGATATACCGTCCCCAAATTTAGATAGGGACCAAGGGAGACTACTATGGGAGGAAATTGTTAGGGCCACAAGGCACGATAATGTAGTAATTCTAGGAGACTTTAACTTTAGTTCATATTGATTGGAATTTCTTGACTGGGAATTTAGAATCATACGATTTCTTAGAAGTAGTTCAGGATTGTTTTTTGAAGCAGTTTGTGGACAGAACCTACAAGGGGAAATAACCTGCTTGACTTAGTTCTGGCAAACAATGAATCCCTTGTTAATAATTTAGAAGTTTCAGAGGAACTGGGTGGCTAGCGACCACAAATCAATTACATTTAGAATTGAATGGAAGTATGATAGTAGGGATAACTCAGTAACAGTCCCAGATTTTCGCTTAGCAGATTACGATGGGCTTAGAGAACACTTATCATCTGTTGACTGGGTAACGAAGGAGAGCTATCAATATGACAGTTTTTGAACACAATACATGCTGCTCAAAGAACGTTTATCCCTTATAAGGAAATTAGATCAAATAGAAATGACCCTAAATGGATGAATATAGGCTGAAATATCTACTAGGGCATAAGAAAGGAATTTATAGGCGTATCAAAAGAGGCGAGGGTCATCTTATGAATACAGTATATTGACATTAAGAGGGACATTAAAAAGGGGATAAGAAAAGCTAAAAGGGACTATGAAATTAAAGTTGCTAGGGATTCTAAAACTAATCCAAAAAGTTTTTTCCAGG